GGTTGCTGGGTTGAGAGTACATCCCCTACCAGGTTTTCAGTAAATATCGTCGTTGTTAGGGTTGCAGTGTAAGAACAGCGCCATTTCTTGGTCTCTGCCCTCTTCCCATCGAAAACAAAGGAGAAGTTATTCTTTTCCCTTTAGTTGGGCTTACCCCGAATGGTAAGCCCTGCAGTTATCATGGGAGCCATTTTCAATGTGTCTTTCGATCTGATTGGTTTATAGAAAATTGAACTATTTAAAAAAAAAAATTGCGAAATTTTTGCCAAAACATTTGCAGATTTTTAACTGCAAACTGCAAACTGTTACCTAGGCAAAATGTGACTAGGCAAGGTGTGACTAGGCAAGTTGTGACTAGGCAAAATGTGACTAGGCAAAATGTAGCTGAGCCTCCGGAGCTGAACTGTAGAAGGCTGCTTCTGTAGGGAGCTGCTTGGAGCTGGTATAGATGAATCCTAGAACCCTGAGCTTCTCTGGTGCAGAACTGTTGAAGGCTGCTTCTGTAGGGAGCTGCTAGAAGCAGGTATAGATGAATCCTAGAACCCGGAGCTTCTCTGGTGCAGAACTGTTGAAGGCTGCTTCTGTAGGGAGCTGCTAGAAGCTCATTAAAATAGAATCCGGGATTTGGATAGCTGATTTCAGAGTATCAATAAAATCCCCTTGATGGTGGTACAGAGTTGGTTTGGAACTCCGGAGCTGCTCAATGGTTGGCTACAGCTGATCATATCCTCTTTTCAAGATTTCAAAGTTAGATTTTTAAGGCGTAGTCTTAACCTTGAGCCTATGTTCATAAAAAATCACAAACATCAAATCTTAAAGAATCTTTTACATTCGTTTGTGATTTTTACAAAAAAGGAGTTTTAGTTTATGTATACACCCAACAGAGTTCCCATATACAGAGATAATCGATTCCAACCATGATCTAACATTCTTTGTTAAAAATACGTACTTTGAACTCCGTTACATAGTATTAATTTTCTAGAGATTTTCCTGTTGCATTGGAGATTTTTCTGAGGTTGTTTCAGCTGTTTCCCAAAAAGAACAGCTTGGTCTTGAAGGCATCCTGGACGTCCTAAGTATTTTCAAAGTCCCTTAATTTTCCAAAAAATATCAAATTTCTTGTAAAATGATAAATAACCGTAAAAATATTTGGGTCTCATGCTCCCCATCCCTTTTTTCAGGCAAATTATCTGTTTTCCCCCCACGACTTCAAGAAGCCCTCAACAAGTCAAAATAAGTCTTGTTTCCCCATTCCCATTTTAGCCTTCTCCCCCCCCCATATTTCACCCACATTTGTTAAGCGACTTACCAAGACACGACGCGAAGTTTTATGACATATCATTTTTCATCCACATGAGTTAGGAGACATACCAAGACATGTTTACAAGTCAATGTAAGTCACTATTTATAAATAACCGTATCTCTATGAGGTGAGATATGGTTTTACAAATAAAAAACAAACTTCAAGCAGAAAATCTGATTTAATTAATTTTAATCATTTAATGCATGATTTTTAAACCGTCAAGAGAAATTCTTGGAATAATCTTTTTTTGCAAAAACATTTCCTTTATTAATAAAATCCTTTCTTTGGTGAGATTACTTCGAACCCAGGCTGCATGTATTTCTGTCGAAATAATGAAAGTGAACCCTTTTTAACCCTATCTCTGCTGAGCCCAAAACTTAAGACAGGGTATTGTTATAAAAACCAGTTTTGAAACCCAGATTTCACGAATGGGGTTAGGCAGTTTTGTAGATATCAATATTTTTGTTCTGAAATATTATATTATATAGTTTCTTCATATTCTCCTTTTCTTCGGATCTCTTAAATTAAAATCTACTTAAATGTTTATAGACCCCGAAATGGAAACTCGGGAGTTTCATTCGACGATACTCTTTTAAATTTCGGGCTCTGGGGTACTTGAAAACCAGGATATGCTGGGGGGGGGTCACCCCCCCCCCTCTAAATCCCACGTTTGATGTCCAAATATGACAAATGATACATTAATGGAAAGCTCTTGTGCGCTACTTTTAGAATCTGCAAAAAAATTGGCAAATTTGCAAAAATTGAATTTGTAATCGCAAAATACAGTTACATAGTAAAAATGTTTGCAAAAAAAAATTTGTCAATAAAATGAAAAATTATACATTTTTGAAAAGCCCTTGACCATGCCATTTCAAATATGCAAAAATTTTTGCAAAATTTTAAATAACCTGATTTTTAATCAAGAAAAACTAAAAATGTGCAAATTTCCTTTAGCAGGTTGTTTGCAAAAAATTTGCAATTTTTTTGCAAAACTTGTGCAATTCGTTTCTTTATGTCAAAGGCTTTCCAAAAAGTCTAATTTTATCAAAATCTGACAAGTGGAAGTGGGTCTAAACAAAGATTTAGTTTGTTACAGGAAAAAGCAGTCATTCAGGCAGTGTGCCTGAGGACTCAGGCAGTTAGTATTAAAGCCCGGTTTTAGGTCTAAAGGGAAGACTTTTGTAGGAAAAGTCAGAAATTTCAACAGCCTCAGACCAATTCTTTTGGAGTGAATTAAAAAAAAACTACAGCAGGAATAGGATTAAAATATCTTAGGCTCTATTTATAAAATCTTCAACAAATCATTTGCGGCAGCAAATTCATTTACAAAATCCTTTTATAGTAAAAAAATATTTTCAAGTTTAGAGACGAAATGTTTAGAAACTTAATACTGTAAATTGAGAAAATTTATCTTGAAGATTGTGCATAAATGTTTTTGCAAAACTTGTACAATCTGCTTCCTTTTGTCAAAGTCTCTGCAACAATATAAAAATTTTACAAATCAAAGAACCAGAAGGGGATAAGAACCAAGTTTAAAGTTAAAGAGACTGCAAGCGTAATTTAAAGTTCCCCTCCATGCAAAGAGTTCCATCCCAGAATGAAATTTTTTGTTTTCTGTGGTATTTAGAAGTCATATTGGAATTATGAAAAATATATTAAATATAGATAAATTAAACATTCTCCCTCATACTTGATCCGTGGAAGGTCAAAGGGTACCGTTGTGAATCTGATATGACCTTTTTTGAATGAAATGTCCCTTACTTACGCTTACAGTCCCTTTAATATTAAAGGGTGGTTCTACTTCTTTCATGATTCATTTTAATTTAAGTTGATTTTGAATAATTCTTTAAATGTAAAAAAAATATTTGTTATTAGCAATATTTTGTATATTAAAGATTCTTGAAACTTTAAGTTGGATTGTAAAGTTTATTGGATTTATAAACCTCTATAAAATCAAGTTTGAAAACCAGCAAACTGTAAAGAGAAAATTCCACAACGTAATCACTTTTTGGCTCATGCTTGTAAACCATGTTAAAGGCATAAAAAAAATATATTATTTGTACAATGTACAGTGTTGCAGCTTGAACCACCATCATCTAGCTTGATTATTCCAGTAATGAGGAAAATTGTTTACAAAAGCTCGATTAAAGGGGGGGGGGGATAGAAAGAAATTGAGTCTTTGCCAAAAACTCTGATTATCTAATCCAGTATAGATAAGTCGGAAACCTTTCAAAGTATGAGTTCTGTTAGATTAAATATTGAAAGTTTGAAATGTCATAGCTGTGCATACGCCATCAGGTTTCACATATATAGGGATTAGAAAGTTTGAGTTTGTGACAAAGGCTTAAAATCTTTTACAGGAAGAAAAAGGAAAAACTATTCTAAAATCTTTGACTTCGTTTAACAGGAAATGCCCTACGTTTTAATTTTGAAAGTATAGAGGTCAGGAGGACGGACTCAATTAAAGCAGGAATAACTGTACCAGTATATATTTAGGTCTAACTTTATCAACAATGATAAATCTTAATACAGTTTATACATATCTATCACATGGCTCTCGAGATGATTCTAGAATGTACGATGCCGCAAAGCTAATCCTCTCTTGTTGTGGAGATCGTCCAAGGAGACCGATAGTCGTCTTCCACAAAAGTATCTTTTCCATAATAAGTATATGTGTGGGTTGTATGTGGGTGAACAGATTTTGCAAATCTATTCCCTTAATCCTAATCTTACTTTCATAACTTTAGAATTGTAAAGGTTTAAATCTTCAAATCTATATTTTATTCAAATTTATATTTTTATTTTACTTTTTATTTAAAACTGACAAACTCCTGAAAATGTCGGGAGAAAAAAATAAAAAATTAAAACTTTAATTTTTAAAAACAATTCTGAAAATTGCAAAATTGGATGCATTGCAAAAATTCCGCGAATTGCTCCTAGAGAGGGGGAAACTAAAATGCTTTAAAGTTATTTTAAAAAGTAGACTTTAAAACCTGTACTGTTAGTGGAACTCTATAACTTTGTTTCCACCGTTCAAAAGCATCCTTACTTGTTAGTGTTTTCTTCTTCAAAAGGCATTTTAACTTTCTTGTATATAATTTGTTTCTCTATAAGCAAGTTGACATGCAGTACACAGATATACTACATGTGAGTAGCGGGGTTAAATTTTTATATAAGGAAGTTGACATACAGTACCCGGATATATTACATGAGGTAAGGTTAATAAAATTCTTGTATAAGGAAGTTGACATATACAGTACACGGATATACTACATAAAGTAAGGTGGGTGAAATTCTTTTATAAGGAAGTTGACATATACAGTACACGGATATACTACATAAAGTAGCTGGGTAAAATTCTTGTATAAGGAAGTTGACATACAGTACACGGATATAATGCATGAAGTAATAGGAAGGAAACGTTCAGTTCTAAGGCAAATAGCAGTAGGATCATTTTATTTCAGTACGTTCACGACAGAATATTCGTTTAAAAATTGTTAAATAAAACGACTCGAACAATGATCTCACTAACTCGTTCATACTTTTTTAAAGCCTTAAACATGAACTTTTCAGAAATGTTAAAGCACTTGTTTTAAGTGTTAGCTTAAAAGAAGTAATTGGTAAAGCTCTCATCGACGTTTTCAAAAGAACTAGAAACCTTTGGATGACTGTGGTTAAATAAGAAAACTCCTGCATATAAATATTGCAGTACATTTATTCAATGAATTATATTCGACTACTGTACAACAGCAACAACAGCTTGTTTACAAACAACACCAGGCTGAAGATCTAGCAACCAGATTACAATCTAAATAAAAAATTGTTTATTAAAAGCTGATTTTATTTTAACAACATGTTAATTTTTTCTACAGTAAGAATCAGAAAATTTGTCATCTTTTTCTTGTACTTTGCAAATGTAAGTTCGAATTTTATAATTTCCAATTGCTCCGCATTTGCATACTGTACTCCAAAGTAAAGTTGTTGTTTAGGCATTAAATTGTATTTTCACAAAGTATTTATTTTTTATAAGAAAAAATTGTTATTCAAAAGATTCGACAAAAAGATGTTACGATAAAACAATACACTATCTTTCTTGTGCCTCTGTTTTTATATAAGAAATAAAACCTTTCTTTATTTTTCTACTTTCTGATAATAGAAATAACGGAGGAATGTCAGAATTAAACACTTTTCAGGCTTGAAAAAAATAGTGGTTTCAAGGATACCGTTTAAATGTAGCTTTAACTTAAAATTAAAAAAAGTTCATGCTATTTAAGACATTACCTAGGTTTATTGAGGACCAACAGACCTGGCCCTGGCTTTCATCTTAGCAAGAGCCTAAAATAAATTCTAAATTTTAAACAATGTTTTGCAGACGATTTATTTTTTTATTTCTGGTTTCTTAACACTAATTCTAATTTTCTAATTTTTAAGGTAAAGAGATAATTTATAGACAAATTATAAATTGAAGATTCAAAAACTATTGAATATTGAATACTATTGATTTTTCAACATTGGCTATTTGGATCTAGTAGAATTCTAGTTTTACATAACACAGGTATGGCGACATAAGGTAAGGTAAATTATATTTTTAGGTAAGTACTCAGTCAACTGGTATTAAACCAACCTGTTCAGTAACATCTGCTCTCTCTGAAGTATCTCCAAGGTTTCCTTGAACCTGTCTAAACTTGGCAAGGTTGAGAGCAGCAATCTCTTCAGCTTCTTCAATCTGCTTCTTATAGCTTCTAATCTTTCCTTGCAGCTGATCAATCAAGCCCTGCATAGTAAATAAAGTTTAATGCATTAGTATTTTATTAGAACTGTCCTAAAGAATTTCTAGAAAGTGTTTGTTTCAATGCCCAAGTCTTAACTTTAGAACCAATTTTCACCCATTAAATGTGAATTTTTTGTTCTTGTTCTTTTTTACTGTTTTGTTTGGATATGTATGTCAAATATGTCAGAAAAAATGGTCTAACACGGTATTTTTATGGATTATGAATGAGAAATGAAAGTATGACATGATTTAGTTCATTGCGGGATCAGAACTTCAGAAACCTTGACCAATGTGCTTCCAATTTTGACTTGAGAACGCTTTATAGTATCTTCCGAAATTTGAAAGAGGGAAGAAAATGTGGGATGTTAGAATCAGTAGTAATTGAAGGAATTTATTATTGAAAACTATGATCTACACGATGATCTTTCTAAGAAGTTGAAAAATAAATCATGTTGTGAAAATTTGATGATTCTAAAAATGTTTAAAGATGTAGATACATACATCTAGCTGGACAGTTATATATTAAGGCAAAAAGTTTAGGTTTTATTATGTTATATTCTTCAATTATCCCCGATCCCATCTTAAATAACAAGTCAAAATCTTTGCACATTTCAAAATGTCCCGATCTATTAATAAGCTGATCCAATGTTTCATGGATTTCTGAGAATTACTTGGTAGATTTTTCCTGACCTGCATTCTCTCATGGTTCTTCCTATCCTCGTCTTGTTGATAGGTGAGCTCCTTGATCCTACGCTCACTCTTCCGCAGGTTCTTCTGGGCATCCTGCATTCTTCTATTCTCAGCATCAAGCTCAGATTCAAGCTCACGGATTCTAATCAAATTCAGATTATAAAAACTATCCATATTTAAATATGATGAAAGATGCTACATAAATAATTTCCCATAAATTTTTAATATTTTTAAGTGCAAAATGTTTCTTGTTTTACTTTTTTTAAAAAGAAATCCCATCTATCAGGAGAAACATTGTGTGGCCAATACGTTTTAGTTGATTCCCTATGTTTTGAGAAAATATATTATATTATATAAAGAATAAATGGAGAAATTATTAGAATTAAAGACATTCCGAGTTTGAAAAACGCCGTAATCTTCCTCAGTTTAAGGGTACCGTTGTAAATCGAGCATTGCTATTTTGGCATTGAGGGTAACTTGAAATTGCGCTTATAATCCCTTTGATCGCTTGATTAATCCCGCTCTTACCTGGAATCCATCTTAGCCATGGCTTTCTTTCCTCCCTTGAGAGCGTTCTGTTCAGCTTCGTCAAGCCTAGACTGCATATCCTTAACCTGGGCTTCAAGTAGCTTCCGGTCACGCTCAACGAACATCGCCATCTCCTGAGAAAAATTGGAAAATTAAAAATGTACATATTTGTGTTCAAATCTACAAAGGAATTGAGTCATTGCCACAATCCCTAAATCTTTGCAACGTGATTGTGTAAACATTTATATTGCAAAGATAGGGAATTAGAAAATCATAGTTTGTAGCAAAGACTCAATTCCTTAAGGCTTTAAAAAGACCAAAAATTGTGATCTCAAGACAGGAATAATAAAAGCAAATCAAAACTGAGAGAATAAGATAAATTTACCCTGAAGGAAGTGAGTTTTGCCGCAATCTCTTGTTTTGAATACCTTTTGGTCAGATCAGATTGCAATTGGCTGAAGAAGGTTTAGAAAGTTTGAGTTTTGAGTTTGATGCAAGAACTCCGTTACTTTGTATTGTATATATCCATATTTTCTAATGAATATCTTCTTATAAGCTGTCTCATATTTCTTATTTTATTTATCTCCAATACTAAATGCAATAATGTCTAGACTATAGACGCATACCAACAAATAAATATATATTATCTGTTTCTCATAAAAATTATTTTCACTTTATCTATATAAATATATATACTTTGTTTGAGTGTCTGTTTGATCCAATAAAAGACAAAACACCTGAACCTTGATTTTGAAAATGTTGAAAATCTGTGAAAAAATATTTTTGAGTCCGGGAACTTAATTTTTTTATTGTACAAAGAGAAGATGATCACATGTAGAGCCACAATTAAAATTTGAAATAGAAAATGGGCGCCCTAAATGCCCAGTATTATAATACTAGAACAGAGTTTATCTTTAAAAGTTTGGGATAGAGAATATAGAAATTTTTCCCCACCCACTGTAGACTTCGGTTCATTTTAAGTACATGGCCGAATTTTAATCAGCTAGAGCAAGCTGTACAGTACAAATACATATACGGCAAAACGGGACTGTACGCCAGAGGAATCATCCCGTTCTAGTGAAAATGTCTACCTGTTCTGCTCTCAGTTCATCAGCAAGCCTTGCAGCATCAATCATAGCAGATTGTGCTTTCTGTTCAGAAATATGGGCTTCAGATTGCATCTCATCAAGGTCAGCCTTAATATTTTGCAATAAATAACATAATATTTTGCAATAAATAACATTGAAACAGGAAGCAGCTTTATCACAAAAAACCTTTTTTAATATAACTATTTGTATTTATCACTTACCCCAAGGGTTTGCATTTCTTGCTCCAGTTTCCTTTTTGCTCCGTCAATAGCCTGGTTCTGGCAGGTTTGATCAGATAGGGTCTCATTAGTGTCAGACACCTAGGAATAGTATAATAAATTTAGTAAAATTGTTTGAAATAGAAGATATTTAATTAAAGGGACTGTAAATGTAATTTTAGTTGACTCTTCGTTCAGAGAGCTGCATGCCCGGTTCACAACGGTAACCTTAAAAACTTTGGTCTGATCAAGAATTTATGAGCTATCCATCATCTTCTCTTTTAAAAACTGATTATTTGATATTGGGGTTTCTCAAAAAAGTGACTGCTGCGTGAAAAAAAAATGTAGAAATATTGTAAGAATTAAAGAGTTTTTAAGCAAGAAAACAGCAATTACTACATATTATTGTTCAGATAAAGGTTTAAAAAGGTACAGTCGTTACTCGGGTGTGCCCTATTCTAAATGAAGGGTCACTTGAAGTTACAACAGCTGTCCCTTTAAGAATTTCTGATTACCTCCTGTTCCAAGACTCTTCTAGCCCGATCAGCTTGCTCGAGCAAAGTTCTCGCCTCTTCTAGAGCATTCTGGTTAGCATGAGCTCTCCTATCAGCAACTAGAAGATTGTCATGAGCAACCTCCTTGGCTCTTGTCTCCTCCTCATACCTGGCCTGAACCTCTCTCAGGGACTGTTGGTACTTCTTGATGGACTTCTGGCTCTCGCAGTTGGCGGCATTGGCATGCTCAAGAGCAGTTTCAAGGTCGCAGACATCAGATTCTAGTTTCTTCTTCATTCGCAGGGCTTCACACTTACCCTTTGTTTCAGCTTCAAGTGCAACCTGCATACCCTCCAGACCCTTTGCAAAGTTCTTCCTGGTAGACTCGAACTCTTCATCCTTCTCAGCAAGACGTCTCTCAATCTCCTGCCTGACTTGGGTCAGCTCTAGCTGAGCTCTCAGAACCTTGTTCTCTTCTTGTTCCAATGCTCCTTCGGCCTCAGAGAGAGCAGCCTCCAGTTCCATCTTTTCAGCCTCCAGCCTTTTGCGGATTTTGTCAATTTCATGAATGGATCGTCCGCCCTCGCTTATCTGATCCATAATATCCTTGATCTCACAAGATAGATTCTTGTTCTCACGTCTAACCTCATCCAACTGAAGAACAGATTCTTCGTAGGCATTCTTGATTCGGAACAGCTCAGAGGAAGCATTCCTTGTCTCCTTCTGGGAGCCATCAAGATCCATGCTGAGTCCATCAACCTTATGCTTCCATTCTCCGACAATCCTGTCAAACTGTTTGGCCTTCTTCTCCATTGAAGCATGCATAATCTGGGCCTGGTCCAGCATCACAGACATTTCATCTAAACATTCATGTTTTAGGAACAATAATTTAGACTAAATTAGAATAGAATTATAATAGAATTAGAATAAACAATTTGAAATGATAAATTACCAAATTCGGCCTGGCTCTTGGCTTTAGCCTTCTCGATCTGGCTTAGCTTTGCATTCAGTTGTTGAATAGTAGATTCAGATTCCGAGAGTCGAGCTTGCATTTTCAGTTTTGACATTTCCAGCTCTTCGGCCTTGAATAAAAAATTTAAAATTGAGATGAAAAAAAAACCCAATATTTATAATGTATACCTTGGCAACCCCGTCAATCTCATATTTGCGTCTCCACAGATCAGATTCATCCTGAGCCTTAGTAAGCTGACGAGTCAAATTCTCCTAAATATTTAATTAAAATTATCATGTTATATTTAAAGGTTTTTAAATAGATGTAAACCTGCACAAGTTTAATCTTGTTGAAGGGGTATAATAAGTTTCAATAGAAATTGTGAATATACATTTTTCAAAAGAATATTAAAATTTAATCTAACCTCGAGTTTAGGCTGAAAGAATTTGATATTAAATTGTTATATGAAATGTTTACCTTTGACAACAATTCCTCATCATAATGTTGGCGCATTCCGTCAACTTCATGCTCTGCATTCCGATACTTTCCAAGCAGAGACTGCCTTTCCTGGAAAAACAAGCTTTTTTAAAAAGTTCAGTCAAAGTTTCATATGTTTTTTAGTTTTAGTATGGTGGTCAGAAAAAAGTATCAAATGATCAAAATGTATTAAATTGATAAGGAGTTATCATGGTTAAAGGAACTACGCGCCACAAACTCAAATTTGTAATCTCAATATCTTTGAAACCTGAAGGTGTAAACCTTTTATATTTCAAACTTAAACTTTTTAAACGAACATAATTCATAGTTTAAAAATATCAAAGATCAACGATATTCAGGTTGCAAAGATAAAGGGATTAACAAGTTGCAAAACCTCAATTCGTTTAGCATAATGAAAAACTATGATAATGAAATACTGTATAAAAAATAATCTATGGGAAAAAATAAAAATAAAGATTCAATTTTATTCTTAATTTTTGCATCCTATAAAAATAAATAATATCTTTAATTAATATATCATGAAAAGAATGTTAATTATTAAAACTGCTTTATAGGGAGGTATAAGGGATTTTTTTTTATAAAAGTACTTGTACACTATTTTACCGGTTTTCTAGATGAAATTGTGTTCATTTCTTTATGAAAACTTCTCAGAGTGGGCGGTTATTTTTCTTAATTGTCCTAAGTTACGTAACTTCCCTCTGTTCGTGCAATCATAGGTCGGTAATATTGTCCAATGTTGTTAAAAAATATTACTATGTAAAGAAAGAAAATAAAGAATTTTAATTCATTATACCTTTGCTTCATCATCGGCAATTCTTCTTTGTTCATCCAACTGAGCTGCCAAGGCGGATTTCACCTGAAATTATTAAAGAAAATTATTTTTCTTTTGTTAAAAAGTTTCTCGGAACATTTCTAATAAACATGAATTTTTAAGTGTTTAATTAAAAATGAACACAATAATATAGAAACTGTTCCCGAAATGAGGCAGTCGGGGCAAGCCAGGCAAAAAAGTTTGTTTTCTAAAAAGTTAACTGATTACCTTTGAAAGCATATTGGCATTGTTCTCCAACTCCTGGAGTTGTCTAAGAAGGTCAGCATTCTCAGCACTCTAATTAACAAACTCAGATTAATTATAAGCAGTCATAGACTTTTAAAAGGTTCCAAAATATCTAAGAAGCTTTATACAAAGGATTTGGAGCTTTGACAAAGCTCTGATGTTGTAAAATCCAATGTCGCAGACCTTAGATATTTCAAACTATGAATTCTGTTAGATCAAATAATCTAAGTTTGAAATACACTATCATGCTGCAAAGTTATAGGGATTAAAAAATTTGAGTTTTTGGTGAAGAATTAATTTTTTTTAAAATTGTTTCATCTAAATATTTGCTTTTTACATTAATGCCTAATTTTGATTCTAAGAGGAAATGTATTCAAGAAACGAAGCAAAAAAGATTGTTTTAAACCAATCGTATGTTAAGTAAGGTTAGTTTTTCCTTTTATTTTCTCTGAGGGTAAAATTATATTGCAAAGTTTAGTAAAAGAAAAGTGTTTAAAAATGTTGGAAGTTTTTTATCTTAAAAACGATCCAATTCTTGACATCAGGTTTCCACAATCTTTTTTGACTGATTACTTGAAGCAAAGAAAAGTTTTTATCTGAAATTATTTTCCTGTTTTCGTTTTCCATGTTCAAAGTCTGACAGAGTCAGGTTGCACTCTTCAACTTTCTTGTTCAAGTCATTAAGCTGGGTAACCAAGTTCCTGACACACAAAATCGAAGTAAATTATCCTTTTAAAGGGACTATACGCGTAATTTAAAGTATATCTTTATACAAAAAAGGAAATGCTTGATTCACAACGGAATCCTTTTTTACTGTGGTTTCTCCACAAAAATGCCTAGCGCATGTTTACTAAAGAAAAACATACAGGAATGATCAAATTTAAATACTTTTTAAGCCTGGAAATCTACCACATTATTGAGCAGATAACGATCTTAAGGGTACCGTTGTGCATTGGGCATTTCCAGTTTTTAATCTTCTTTTTGATAAACGAAGACTCTGAAATATTTAGTCTGCTCTTTTTGATTACTACAAAAACCTTTTGCAATTACATGCATTAATTGTCATGAAAGTGGAGAATAAGGTAAAACAACCCATGATAATTCATTTCCATGATTGTCTCTTCTACATAAACCCGCATTTAAATCTTACCAAGAAACCACCAATGAAAATTATTAATGTTCAGCATGAAAAAACTAGGATATTAGATAATGGTTTGCTTTTAACCTGTGTGATTTTTCAGCAGAAGCCTTAGAACGAACAACTTCGTCAGTAGCAGCTCTCACATCAGCAATCTCATTCATGATTTGCCCCTTGTCCTTCTCAATTCTAGAACAAATTAGATATTTGATAAAAACCTACGAGCTATGTCTTGAATTTCTGTTTAAAAATAAACTGCAATAATTTTGATTTGGTCACATAAAATATCAATGCGAAAAAATTAATATTAAAATGATCTTTAAATTCTGTGAGATTCTGTGAAAATATTTTAAAGGGACTGTAATGGAAAAATGAAAGGGGTGTAGGATAAAACCTGAGAATTTCAGGTTTAGAACGATAACTATAAGACATCTTATGTTCCCTCTCGAGAAATTTACATAAAACTTTGTCAAAATTACACCAAAAATGACATATGTCAGATTTTGTATAAAAATTGTAGCATTAAACAGATCTTATTCAACAATTCCGCAACCAATCTGAAAACGACTATGTCTCACAGCAACCTGAAAATCTCAGGTTTGTTCCTGTTATAATTATTCAATTTTTATTTTACATTTTTTATAGATATAATTGATAATATTATTACATTTAATCTGTATAGTCCGTAGTACGTCACTAGTACTTCAGCCAATGACAGTGCAGTATATGAGTCACGTGATTTCTGTCTATACCACGTGAAAACTGCACTGTCATTGGCTGAAGTTTTTGTGACGTAATACGGACTAGACAGATTAAATGTAAAAATATTATCAATTATATCTATTCAAAATATGCAAAATAAAGAATAAAAAATTATAATATGAGCAAAACTGAGATTCTCAGGCTCCTGTGGGATACAATCGTTTTGAGATTGGTTGCATAATTGTTGAATATGATCTATTTGATGCTACAACTTTTATACAAAATCTGACATTTGTCCGTTTTGGTATAATTTCGACACAGTTTTATGTCAATTTCTTGAGACAGAAACATATAATAAATGTCTTATAGGTAGCGTTCAAAACCTGAGATTCTCTGGTTTTATCCTGTACCCTTTCATTTTTCCTTTACAGTCCCTTTAAGTTGTATGAGAATCTCTAAAAATCTTTATTAGATTCTGTTAAATTTTTAGAGATTCTTTTTAAATCTATATTGTATATATACTGTGCAAGTAGTTTTGTGAGATTCTGTTAAACAAAGGAATTTATGTTAAAGTTTTAATATACTCCACAACCAATAATATGATATCGCATATAAACGAATATTTTGTTAAATTCTGCAGAGTTTTTAATAGTTCCATTTTGTAATTGATCATTTTTGACAAATTAAACACTAATATTAGTTTTGCAGTGTTTATGATCTGACCTGGTCTTCATTTTATTTAGCTGATCAATTTGTTCACTCATTTCATAGATAGCATCCTGGTGTTTCTTCTTTAAACTTACTAAAATATAATTCATAATTAGTCAATTTTGTTACAAATTAGTTACCTAAAACTTATTTTTTTAAGTGTCAAAAATAAAATGATATTTTGTAAACAAAAAAATTGCGGATTTTAAAATTCCAAAAAGTTATACTTAGAGTTCCCTCCTGCTGAATATTTGCTTCCTCTAGATCCTTTCTAAGCTTGCTAACCTCACTTTCGCGTTTCTTGTTCAACTCAACCTTGGAAAAAAATATTATTTTAATATAATTCAATTTCTAATTTTAAAGGAAATGATGTTTCTACCTAACATGTTTATTGCATATGCATAAAGCAAAAGCAAAGCAGAGCAGTGCAAATTTCTGAGTGATTGTATGATGTATTACTGTTTTCTGTCAAGTTGTGATTTAAGTTTAAAAGAAACAGGGACCAAATTTAATGAATTGTAGAAGTGGATGAACTACCTAACACCAGTTCAAATCCTAAATCACCAATTTAAATCCTCATGAGTCTTTAAGTTCATATTGATGATTCTAGATTTGAACCCCAGAAGGTGACTTACTGACCTAGCTTCTATTCATTAAGTTTGGGCCCAGGATTTATAAAACACCAGCAATAATATCCGACAGTTTAGATTTTGCTTTTTAAATATTACCTGGGCATTAGTGGCTCCCCCTGCTTCCATGAGTCTTTCTCCCATGCTTTCAAGCTCACGAGCTAGATCAGAGCGCTGGCGTTCAGCCTTAGCTCTAGCTTGTCTTTCAGCTTCCAATTCTTCTTCCATCTCTTCAATCCTAGATTGATGTTCCTTGATAGACTTTTGAACTTTACCAACCAATCCTTGTTCGTCCTCAAGCTTAGAAAAAAAGGATGCACCATCTTTGTCCTTCTTTTGAATGATGCTCTCAAGTTCCTTCTTCTTCCTTTCCAACTCTAGGACAGTCTCTTGGGTTATCTTGAGTTCTCCTTCAATTTTTCTGCGTTCCTTCTCAGTGTTGGCTCTTTGCCTTTTTTCTCTTTCCAAACTTGACTCAAGTTCATCCAAAGTTGCTTCAAGCTTGGTCTTTATTTTGGTTAGATGATCAACTTTCTCTTGGGCAACTTGGAGATCCTCGTTGGCCTTGGAAGCATTCTCCCCTTGGCGCTTCTTATCCTTGTTAATCTTATTGATGACTTCATCTTGAGCTGCTATGTCATCATTGAGTTGTCTGATAGTGTGATCTCTATTGGTCTTGTCTTGCTCAATTTTTTGAATTGACATTTCTATATCATCAATATCTTTCTTAACAGAAATAACTTCTTGCTCCAACACTTTCTTATCTGCAGTAGCTTGAACCCTGCTTCTCTCAAGTTGGACAAGCTTATCTTGAGCTTCCTGAAGCTGAATTTCTAGGTCAGCCTTCTGTGCAGACATCTTAGCTTGTCTTTCATGATGTTGAGACATGTCACCTTGTTCGGCTTCTATTTGTTTCAGAATAGCCTTCTTCTCTTCATTAATCACCTTATTTTCTTCAAGAAGACGTGCCTTAGTATTGAGCTGCTTTTCATAAGCACCATATTTTTCTTTTGCCTTTTCTTCTAAAAGTCTCAATTCTTCCTCGGGGTTAGGGAGCCCAATGAGAGGTCTAGTCTTCTGAATAATGATAAACCATCCCCATTCTCTTAAAGCAATATACTTCCTGAAATTTCTTTGGCATACTTTGATGAGTTCTCTTTGATCTCTGCGCTTTACAAAGTCAACATTTTTAATTCTTTGGTATGCTTGACCTTGTATATATCTAACAAGTTTGAGGACAATGTCATCTCTAGCCTCTTCTAAGACAGCCAAAGCTCCAGCTCTAAAGAAAACCATTGTATGTCCAAGCCTATATCTTTCTCTGCTAAACTGAATCTTGTCCATCAAAGCATAAGCAGCAGTTTTATTGTCCTGAGAGCTTGCAATTTCCTTGGCACCTAGAATAGCATAACGGGCCTTATAATCTGCATAGTAAATTCTGTTTGGGAATCCTCTCATACAAATTCTAATGCCCTCAAGTACACCATTGCAAGTGAGCTGGTGCATAATAAGAGGGGGTTCAACATCACCAGGTTTCTTATGGGTGTTTGGAACAAGGCAACGCACAAAGTGGGGCTCACAACTGTGAAGTGTGTCCATGAGTTGGCCAAGTGAAACTAAGTAGACAGAGGACACAGTCTTTCCACCACCACCCTTCTTCTTCTTTTTTCCGTCATCTTTAGGAGTTGTTGTTGGCTGTCCTGGATGATCTTGCCATAGATGAACTAGAAGGGCAACAGTACTTGCACTTTTGAAGATTTCAACTACAGAGTCATTTACAGGATCCTTGTTTTTCTCAAGCCAGTTAGTCACATTGTAGGATACAATACCAGCATAATGAGAAATGGCAAAATGAGCATTTTTATCAGTCTTAGACTGAGGTTTCAGGAAGATTGGAAGTTTTCCCAGAGAAGCTTTCAGTTTCTCTTCAAATGATTTGTCAGTTGCTTTCGGAAACAGAGATTCCTCCTCAAGAATGGCCCAAAGACCCATTGGCTTTTCAAACATGATAATAGCAGCCTGCAGGTCAAGACCAAAATCAACCATTTCCCAGTCAATGCCCTCCTTAACATACTCTTCTTGTTCAACAACGAACATGTGGTGATTGAAAAACTGTTGAAGCTTCTCGTTTACAAAGTTAATGGAGATCTGTTCAAACCCATTATATTCAAAGATCTCAAATCCAGCAATGTCAAGCACAGCACAAAAATTGTTCTTCTTCAAAGTAGCATCAATCAGAGTCTCATTACATTTCTCAATGAGCCATTTGAATAGTCTGTCAAAGATACCTCTAGCAATACCACCAACAGCATTGGTTGCCTGTTCACAAGTTTGGCCCTTGGTTACCCATTCAGTTCCGACCTTGATTCTAGGCTTACAAAATGCTTTGATAAGTGCCATTGAGTCAACTCCACAAAGTGCAGCAGCTTTTCCAGCATAGCTGTCTGGTCCAATAAACTCACATTCAGCTTGATCATCTCTACCCTTGGTCTTGAACTCAACACCTCCATAAGTCATGACAGCTGAGGTCAGCATATAGCAGTCAAACTTTTCCTGCTCACCGAATCCAATCACATTGAATGCATCCTCTGTATACTCTAATTCTTCATTGTCATCAATGGATTCTACCTTGGTTTTCCCTTGAGAAACGTAGATGTAATCATAGATGTCATCAGACAGATGACACATATTCTTCAGACCAGTTCCAATACCATCTCCATAAGGCTGAAGCAGTTGGTAAAAGATATGATAAGACCTCTCAACAGCCTGTTGCTCAGTGATTCTTGATTTTTCAAGAAGATAAGAGACAATGTCACAACCAGCCAACTTTCCAGAAGAAGTGAAATGGATTCGGATAAACTTTCCAAAACGAGAAGAGTTGTCATTTCTGGCAGTTTTTGCGTTTCCATATGATTCCAGAATGGGATTAGTAGCCACAATCTGATCTTCTAGAGAAACCTTTTTAGTAGATTTCTTCCCAGAGCCAGTTGCAACCATGGCCAGGTAAGTGATAACCTTCTTAGTATTTTCAGTTTTTCCAGCTCCAGACTCACCAGTGATCAGCATAGCTTGATTCTTGCAGTTGGTCAACATACCTCTGTAGGCAGTCTCAGCAATAGCCCAAAGATGAGGAGGAACCTCATTACGCCTCTTGCCAAGGTAGATCTTAGCAACCCTGTGGGTGTAGATAGGGTAACGCTTGTAAGGATTAACAACAACAACAAAGAGACCAGAGTAGGTATGGATCATTTTGATCTGGTAACGCGTCTTCAGGTTCCAGAATACAGAAGCATCATTGAGAAAAGTAAGATTAACCATGTCCTCACACTTCTCAAACTTAGGTGGGTTGACCTTTCCGACCTCAGACCCTTTATGGGTAAACTTTTCATGACCAACAGACACAAGACATTTGCTTGCAGGGTCTTCTAGGTCACCAGACTCCAAAAAACCCTCCCTATATCCTCCAGTCTTGGGATCAGGAATCCAAACAGATTTCTTGGAATCATAAGGTTTCTGCTGATCAGCTCTTTTCACCTCTATAGAAGGAACTAAGAACTCCGAAGGATCTGGATCAGCTTGTCCAGTCTTGCCGAGCTTGATATGGCCAGGCATCTTGAATCAGTCCTGTCAATAAAGGTAAACAAATTTACTCTGAGCTAGTGCATGGGTTTGAGATTCATGAAAAAAAATCCAAACATCAGATTATTCAATCATTTTGCCAATGTTCAAGTAAGGTTATATTTAAGGCTTTTAATGATTTGTTCACACATTTGGCGTTTCTAATCTTTATCAGATTGATGAAAACATATCATACATGAGACAAATAAATTTTTCAGTTGATTTAAAAGAAGGGGTTTTCAAATTAGCATAGAAAATGGATTTAAATTTTTTAAGGAACTTGCAGATTAGAGGAATATAGTAGTACCAAAAAAGTTCAAAGGAATTGAGTATATGTCACAAACTCAAATTTGTTAGTCTCTATATCTTAGCAACCTAATGGTGTAAACTTCTTTATTTCAAAATATTGGGATTAGAAAATCAGAGTTTGTGGCAAAGACTTAATTTCATTAATTATTATAAAATTCTTTTTATATATTTCCAAATGACAACATGCATTTCATTAATTTCCAAACCTACCTAAAGTCTACACCGAAGTTAGGATAGGGAAAGACTGACACCAACCAACCCGTGTACATGCTTTAAATACCTGAGCCCGGGGTCACGTGACACTACAGCGTCAAGTCACGTGTAGTTGCTGGTCAGCCCGAGGTTGACCCGCACAATTGACGTTGATATATGAGTAGGTGAATGTGTAAGAAGATAGAAATAACAAATATGGCAGGAGAGTGTCATACTCAAATGGGGGATGGGGGGGGAGAGGAGTTACTTTTAAACAAGGGAATAATTTTGCATTGAAAATTACAGCTCTAAATAGTTTGTATGTGATATTTCAAACATATCATATAGCACAAAATGTCAGCCCACATGGTCCAGCCGTTTGGCCAGCTATGACGAACATATATTTTCTATATAATATATTAAATAGATAATAATAAGTGTAAAAAAGAATATAGAATTACTAGGCTGTTAGGGCGCTTAGCGCCCATCTTCTATTCAAATTGTGAACATGTTCTTTTTGTTTACATTTTAAAACAAAGAAGAAAAAATTTTGCGGATTTTTAAAAAAAATCGCGGATTTTCAAGAATTTAAATTGTTTTACAAAATTAAAACCCACACAAAATTTGGGTCCGATCAGTTCAGCCGTTTTGACGTTTATTGGATACAAACAAACAGACAAACAAACAAGCAAAATTTATGTATAGATGAAGATAATTGAGCAAAGAAACAGAAAATTAGAAACGTAAAATGAAGGATTATTAAAGTGTAAAATGGAATAAAGAAAAGTTTTGATAATCAGTAAAAAATAATAGAGAATAAGTAATGGAAAATTGAAAATTAACTATCACAGAAAATAGGAAAAAGGCAAAAATATTAATATTGATTAGATAAATCTAAAGAATAAAAGTAATTACAAAGTTCAATCAGGAAAATAGAATTAGAATTGTAAATTAACGAAAATCAGTTATATAACTATAAATCTAGTATTTTCAACTTTTTCAATTTAAATATTCATTTTAGAAGTATAACTATATATTTTCCAAGACAAAATGTTTCATGGGTCCGACACAATCATCATCTGGAATAAAACTATAAATATGTCTTTATTAGTAGATATGTCTTTTCTGATTTGTTTGCTTTTGATATTTCAGTCCCAAATCCATTTTTTTCATTTTGTTCTTGTTTTTAATTAATTATTTTTTATTTAATCTTTTTCTACATATTTATGCTAAATTGTGTAAATACTGCAGGGCTAAATTTTTAACAGTCTCAGAACTTTCATTCCTCGACCCGGTTGTAAAAACAAAATTTTTAACAATTTAAATGTCGAAATACATTATAATCCTTTAGGGAGAATGAAGTATAAGCAAAGTTTAAAGAAAAATAAAGGATTAACAAAGTCTAAATTGTGAATTAAGAACAAGAAGAAAGAATGAAGGATAAGAATGAAGAATAAAGAAAATAAGAATTAAGTAAGAAGGATAAGAATGAAGGATGAAGGTTAAGAATTAAGAATGAAGGATAAGAATGAAGGATGAAGGTTAAGAATTAAGAATGAAGTATAAGAATGAAGAATGAAGGATAAGAATGAAGAATAAAGAAAATAAGAATTAAGAATGAAGGATAAGAATACAGAATGAAGGATAAGAATAAAGAAAGAAGGATAACAATGAAGGATGAAGGTTAAGAATTAAGAATGAAGTATAAGAATGAAGAATGAAGGACAAGAATGAATAATAAAGGATAAGAATGAAGAATGAAAGATAAGAATGAACAATGAAAGATAAGAATGAAGAATGAAGTATAAGAATGAAGAATAAGAATGTAGAATGAAGGATAAGAATGAAGAATGAAGGATAAAAATGAAGAATGAAGGATAAGAATGAAGGATAAGAATGAAGAATGAAGTATATAAGAATGAAGAATGAAGGACAAGAATGAAGAATAAAGGATAAGAATGAAGAATGAAAGATAAGAATGAAGAATGAAAGAAAAGAGTGAAGAATAAAGAATAAGAATGAAGAATAAAAGATAAGAATGAAGAATAAAGGACAAGAATGAAGAATAAATGATAAGAATGAATAATGAAAGATAAGAATGAAGAATGAAGAATGAAGGATAAGAATGAAGAATAAAGGATAAGAATGAAGAATAAAGAATAAGAATGAAAAATGAAAGATAAGAATGAAGAATGAAGGATAAGAATGAAGAATAAAAGATAAGAATGGAGAATAAAGAATAAGAATGAAAAATGAAAGATAAGAATGAAGAATGAAGAAAGAAGGATAAGAATGAAAAATAAAGGATAAGAATGAAGAATAAAGGATAAGAATGAAATATGAAGGATAAGAATGAAGAATAAAGGATAAGAATGAAATATGAAGGACAAGAATGAAGAATAAATGATAAGAATGAATAATGAAAGATAAGAATGAAGATTGAAGAATGAAGGATAAGAATGAAGAATAAAGGACAAGAATGAAGAATAAATAATAAGAATGAAAAATGAAAGATAAGAATGAAGAATGAAGAACGGATAAGAATGAAAAATAAAGGATAAGAATGAAGAATAAAGGATACGAATGAAATATGAAGGATAAGAATGAAGAATAAAGGATAATTGAATGAAGAATGAAGGATAAGAATGAAGAATAAAGGATAAGAATGAAGAATAAAGGATAAAAATGAAGATTTTAAGACAAAAATTGAAGAATGAAGGATAAGAATAAAAAATAAAGGATAAGAATGAAGAATGAAGGAATATTAACTTGAAGGATCATCCCTCACCTGGCTAGCTCCATGCTACGCATAATGTTGTTATAAATCTATTCAAACACAAATAAGCTGTCAAGTGTCAAGTCAGGTAGATGTATTTAGGGATGGGGATCGTTGTCAACGTGTACCAAAATCAAATATTTCTTTTTAAGGAAAGTTTTGATTTCTAATTTTGTATATTTGTTGTCTTATATGTTTTAGGATTAGGCAATTGATTCTTTTGGTCTTTAAAATACTAAAAACGATTTTTAATTTAATATTTTTGGAAACATTGAAGGAAAACTTTTTTTTAAATACTCAGCCCATTCCTATATTTAAGAACAAACCTTGCAGTTTCACAGATGAGTCAAGCTAAGGGGAAATATAAGAAACTAATGAGCCCTAGGCTCTGACGATGAGCACAAAATGTGTAAAATTTAAAGGAACGAACTAATTATGCGCCACAGACTCTAATTGTGTATTCCTATTTCTGTGCTACCTGATGGTGCATATCTTTGAAATTTTTATTTTTGAATATCTAATCTATCAGAGGCCGAATTAAAAAAAATTTGAACCGTGGCTTAAATTTTAGACGCAGCTCAATCTCAAATATGGTTGGTTCCTATTTAAATAGTATTCAATGTTTCAAGATTTAAGCCGCTTTTTGGCTGATTCGAGAAGCTGCTCAAATTCATTAAATTCGGATATATATAAATATTAATATAAATATTAAATATCTAAGGTTAAAGTCATCAGGTTTTTTATCCTTCATTCTTTTTTCTTATCCTTTATTGTTATTTCTTATCCAACATTCTTCTTTCTCATCCCTCATTCTTCATTCTTATCCTTCAATATTAATTTTTATCCTTCATTCTTCTTTATCATTTTTCATTCTTTATTCTTCTTCTTCATTCTTCACTCTTGTTCTTCATTTTTCTTTCTCATCTATCCTTCTTTAGTCTCATCCTTCATTCTCAATTTTTATCCATCATTCTTTATTCTTATCCTTCATTCTAAATTTGTATCCTTCATTCTCCCTTATTATCTTTTATTCTTCATTCTCATCCTTCATTATTCATTCTTTATTCTTATCTTTCATTCTTCATTCTTATCCTTCATTCTACTTTCTTAATATTCATTCGTCATTCTTATCCTTCATTCTTTATTCTTATCCATCATTCTTTATTCTTATCCTTCATTCTTCATTCTTATCCTTCATTCTTCAAACTAAAGTAAATTGCACTTCAGATTGAAATCTTTTATGTTTTTATTCGTAAATCCTCCTACAATTGATAAACTATTAAACAAAACAAAAATGTTATGAATTTCTAACATCTAATTGGCTTAAGCTCACTTGTGTGTGTAAACTTTAAGCTACAGGAGCTAGAAGGTCCCAAGGTCTTACCAGTAAGCTCTGTGTGGGTTGCAAAAATATAAGAGTTTTATGTTTGTATTTTGGAAGAAATCAATTCTTTTAAACTTTTTCAGAAAAAGAAACATTGATGCAAAGAATTATTTGGTAAAGTTTTGCTACTATTTTCCTTCTCCTTAGGGTGGGAAAAAATAAAAAAATAAAAATTCTGAGTTAACAGATAATTCTGAAAAATATAACCAAATCAAATAAGAAAATGAATTTGATTAAGAAAATTGGTTAGCTACGGGGGTGACTTTAAAAAAAAACCTTATGGGTTAATTATTTTTTTTTGCTTGTTCTTGTTCGTTTGAGTTTAAACACATATCTTTCTCATATCTCTCTAGAGGTATAGTTGGCAAGGCCAAGATAAACAAAGAAAATAATCTTTTTAAAACGGGGTGACAACAGACAAAAGTGATTAAGGATGCTGATATTCTATTGTGTTTCAAAAGAAATTGAAACTAAGGTTGATTTATGTGTGTACCTCGTCAAAGATGTGTTAATATAAGAGTAGAAGATTTAAAGGGACAAACAAATTTCAAAAAATTATGACATTTACAATTAACAATTAGATACTACAGTTTGATTTTATTATTGAAATTTATTTTGATCCACAACATGCTGAAAAAAACATCAAATAGTGTCTATAGAGAGGTACCATACCTTTCCGCTCAAATTCTGAATGAAAAATCGGCTTTATCTGCGGCCACAGCGAATCAACAGCGAATAGGCTGTTTAGTTTACCCTGAAAGTACCCAAATAAGTTACCGGTCCCTATAAGGTTCTATATATTAGAATGTACAATATTTACGAACAAGACAGACTCACTCAGACAATTTTCGTCAGAGTGATTTGTGACTAAATATTAGTGAGAAATCATTGCAAACTATATTCTCTTCAACAAAAATCAAGTAGTATTTTGCAAAGTACTCATTTTAAACTATACTAGAACAA